TTTTTAATGTGTTGCTGGATTCGATTTGCTAGTATTTTATTGAGGATCTTTGCACCTGTGTTCATTAGGAATATTGGTCTGTAGTTTTCTTTTTTTGTCGTATCTTTTTCCAATTTTGGTATGAGGTTACCATTGGCCTCTCAGAATGAGTTTGAAGTATTAGCTCCTATGTGCGCCTACAGGGACCCTGTGAGTGGTCTTGCTGGCCTGGGGGCTGGTATGGTATGCTCCAAAGCCCTCTTCTCCCCTGCAGACTCCAGGCAACTTCATGCAAAGGGCTCATCTGTGGCTTTTGTTGGCTCCTGTCCATGTGCTGCAGCTTCTTCCTGCCTTTCACAGGCCGGCCCTGAAGCAGCCCGGGCTTGAAACAGTAGGAGCTGTTTCTTCCTCTCAATGCAGCTTCTCCCGCCTTTGTGAACTCCACGGGTCTCTCCTCTTCTTCTGCTGAGCTCCAGTGGTCCCAAGTTGGCAGTCTTGCTTTTTAATAGTCGTAAATTGCTCATTTGTGGGGTAGAGTGGTACTGAGGACCATCTATTCCGCCATGTTATTTGATGTCCATTACTGATCTTATTTTAATGGCTTTTCAATAGTTCCAGATAGAGAAATGGGGGTCATGCTCCAGGGCCTGGTTTCCTCTCCTTCCCTGCTATGGAAAGGGCGCTAGCTCCATGCTGTCTGCAAGGGGGGAGGCTCTGTGCTGCTGCAGGCCTGGAGCACAGACAGAGGAGGGTACTATAATCATTTTGGGATGCAGGGAAACGTGTTTCCCTGTTGCTTTGCCCCCCACTTCCCCTGGGTGATGGAGCAACAAAGGATTACTCAAAGCCCATTTCTTCTGAGCAGTAAGAAGCCCCAAAGTGGTTAACTTCCCTGGAACCCTCAAGCGAGAGGCATTCCTTCCTTGGGAAATTAACCCCGAACTGGGGTTCTCTTCCTGCATTTATTTTCCAGACCAGGAAGTTACAGGAAGACAACACAGGTGGGGTTATAGTTTAACAATATAGGATGGTAACTTTCAGTGAAACAAGCCAGCTGACATTCCAGTAAGGCAATTAAGTGGTCCTATCAACAACAGTTTGAACTTAGCAAACATTCCCTTCTTACAGCAATTTCTCAGTATCTTTACATATCAATCAGTAACTTGTCTGTCTCTGTGTTGAATTCTTTTATCTTACACCAGAGACTTATAGCCTGAGGAAAATTTGCTGTCCTTTACAAGGTCAATATTTGAAACTGCAAGGCTTTGGAAAACCAGGGCCTGTGAAGTACATTTGCTTTATGAATCCTCTACACTCCCCCTAAGAGAGAGTATGAAGGGGCTGCGACTCAGCAGGAGGAACTTAGATTTGGGGAAGAACTTCACAGATTATACCATTATCAACAATACTCCAATGCACTCAGCACTTACCGCAGGCCAGGCATGGCAATTCCCATCAGAGATGTTGAATTTGAACTTGTGTGGGGACTGGTTGAGAACCCAGACCCCTCCACTCTCCAGCAATACTCCCTTCAGCCTTCTCTTCTCTTGGGTAAATAATCATAGTTTCTTTCTTCCTTCTTCATCCCAGGGTGGCACGTGGCCTCCCCACTATGCCTGGAGCCCTCAGCTGAGAGGAGGCCTTGACTCAGCTGCTGGTGCAGTTCAGTCCCTCAGATTTGCCCAGGACCGAGGGGTTTCCTGGGATGCAAGACTTGTGGTGCTAAAACCAGGAAAGTCCCAGGCAAACTAGGAAGTTTGGCACCCTAGGTGACTGTGTGTGCTGGGCCCTCAAGACTCTCCTGTTTTAGTGAGATAGGCTCATATACAGGCATTGCAGCAAAGCAGGTAAATCTAGGCCATACAGGATCCCAGAGCAGGGGAAGGCTTCCTGGCAGAGGTATGCCTAGGCTGAGTCTTAAAGGAGGATATGAGCCTTTAGAGCACAGAAAACATGGTAAGTAAATGTGGGAGCAGGAAGTGCACGGGCAGCATATTTTGAGCCTCCAGGGACCTGTGCATTTCTTCCTCTAGATCCTACAGATGTCCAATAATGCAAATTCCAGGCTAGCCTGTGCCCCTTCCCAGGGTTACACCCACCCTTTCTAGAGCCTGTGCAGGCTGCTCAGATTTTTGTGTACACTGTCCTGGCAGTCTGGCCTGGCATCTCTAAATGAGAGACTACTGGTATTCAGAGAGAGCTGCTGCTGGGGTATAGAAGGCAGCCTTTGAAGTGCAGGGCAGGGAACTGGACAGAGTTGCCCTGGAAGGGGTGGTGAGCTTGAGGCAGTGAGGGAAAGCTGTGCTTTGATGGGGGTAGGAATGTGGGGAAAACTGTGGCCTTGGTAAGTTCCCAAGGGCCTGAACTTGGAGACCTTGCCCCCCTGCAGAGATGAGGCCTAAGGAGTGGAGTTCTAGCCCCTGCAGTGAATGGCAATGTGGGAAGTGGTGGGCATGTAAGTGAAGAAGTCATGTCTCAGGGGTTCCCAAGGACCTGTGCACCATTTGTATGTGTTTGTACATCATCTGTTTAGGGGCAAAATGTCCTGGCACAGACTACCCTGGCTGCGTGAATGACTTCCAGAGTTGCAGGCCACAGAGTCCTGTCTGGTAAGCTCCAGGCCCTGACTCTTAGATGGCCAGCTCCCAGCTTCCCAAATGGGACCCAAGAGTTCACCACTCGACTCCCTAGTCCTGGGATATATTAAAGAGTAAAGCAAAACCTAAACCTGGTCCTCAGAAATGATATGAGAGGAGTCCCTCTGAGGTGACCGCTAAGGCACAAGGGGCTGTCTCTCAAAGCGCATCTGAGCCCATGTGTATCATAAAATCTCCTGCGGAGCTCATTAGAAATGCAATTCCCTAGGGTCGGCCCATGGCTCACTTGGGAGAGTGCGGTGCTGATAACACCAAGGCTGTGGGTTAGGATCCTATATAGGGATGGCTGGTTTGCTCACTGAGCGTGGTGCTGACAACACCAAGCCAAGGGTTAAGATCCCCTTACCGGACACCTTTTAAAAAAAGAAAAGAAGAAATGCAATTCCCTGGCAGGGGGTGGGGGTGGGGGTACATTGTTGACACCCAGGAATCAACGTTTTGCCTTTTTTTTTTTTTTTTTTTTTTTTTTTTTTTTTTTTT